GCACACACAGATATCCCCCTAAAATAGCTAAAACTAAAAACAAACTAAAAACTACTTCCAAAAACATTCAGCTTTGATATTAATGAGTTTTTTTGGGTTCATTGAGAACATGGTTGTTGTTCAATAATAAAATTATTCCTCAAAAATACAACTTGCCTGATAATTCTGCACTCCCTGTATGTGTGTGTTCTCTTGTGCTCGTCACTGGTCCTTTTGCGTTACCTCCCTGTGTAATTCTGTGTCTCACCCTGGCCTTTCCCTGCATATCATCCAAGGTGTCATGGTTTCAGGTTTGTTTAGTTTTTCCCAGTTAGGTTATTTCTTAGTTCCTGTCCGCCACTTCCGTGTCACTCAGTATTTTCCTCCCGTGTCAATAAAGCTCACTCTTCTCATCTAAGTCAGTGCCTGCAGTTTTGGGTCCTTATCTCACCTCCACACAGCTTGCCTCACAAGCCATGACAGTATCACATAAGAGTAGCATTCCTTTTTAATTCATTAATTTTAGTTTACTTAAATTCTATTGATCATTTTATGTATGTCTTTATTTCTCATTTTGTTTATGGGTATCTAGTGTATGTGGTTTCCATATTTTTGGCTTATGCTATGTGTAGCTATATAAATGAATGAATGGGTGAACAAATCTTACTATGATACGTTATTCTTTTTATCACCTTGTTGTAGGCCAAAAGATACCTCTGTTTCCAGTTTCTGTGCTAAGCTTTAGGATTTATCTGAATATGGGTCAGAGGGAAATAATACATTTTCTTCAAACGACTGGTTTATTACAAATACATAGAGAGCTTGGTGAACTAATGGTGACAAAAAGCAGTCATCATCTCTGTTCCTGGACATGTTGTCAGCGTTAAATATCTAATTATTTTTAAACTGCAAAGGACCAGAAACACTAGTCTGTATATATCAGAGAAAATGTTTTTAGCTGTTCTTTCTATGCCAGACATTCTCTCCATACCTCAGAGAGTCCAGCTCCTCCTTCAGTCCAGCCAAGAGCAGCTTCATTCCTGAGTCTCCTGCATCATTGTAGCTCAGATCCAGCTCCCTCAGATGGGAGGCATTTGAGCTCAGAGCTGAGGCAAGAGAAGTAAAGCCTTCCACTGTGATCGCGCAGCCTGAGAGACTGCAGACACAAAACAACAATTCACCTGTAAACATGTCATTGGATTTTTTTTTTGCCATCCATTGATTAAATGCTTTTTGTAACAGTTCACAAAAAATAACAGTTGTAAAAGTTGTTTTAAGTTGTGTAAATATACACAGAGTAGAGTGCAGGCAGAGTAGAGTGAGTATAGATGAGTATTCAGGAGTGATTTGTGACACAGGGATAATAGCAACACTGAAACGGGATGTTTACTAGACAACAGGGACATTTGCGTTGATGTATGTTTTGGAGACTGATGTGCACATTAAAGAAAAGACACTAGTTAAAGTCTTAGCTTAAAAATGTCTAGACTGGAAAAATGTATTTCAAATCATAAACAAATAAAAAAACAAGACAACATTTGAGACAGTAATTCAGAGGAAAATAATACAAAAATGATATAGGTCACGTGACAACTCAAGGTTTTGCTTATTTACGCAATAATATATTTCCAATTTTTTAATTATCAGTGAGAAACACTGTATTCTGACCTGAGAATTTCCAGTGTACAATGTGGACTCTCCAGTCCTCCAGAAAGAATCTTAACTCCTGAATCCCGCAGGTTGTTATTACTCAGGTCTAATTCTCTCAGACTAGAAGACTGAGAGCTAAGAATAAATGACAGAGCTCCACATATTCTGTCTGTGAGGTTACAGCCACTCAACCTGAAACAGAAAAACAAAAAAGCAATAAAACAAACAAAAAATAAAGATACACACACATACATACACATACACACACGCTTACTTTTAAACACTCTAGGAACCAGAAGTAAGTAACCAATCAGACAGCAACGTTTTCTATTTTGATGATATCGTACTATGAGGTAGTTAAATAAACAAAGTGGAAACTATTCAAGCCACTTCGATGCAGTACCTGTAATACCTACAACGTGCTCTAATCTCTGTAATAAAATTTTGTGGTCAACAGTATCTAATTCTGCACTGAGGTCCAGATGATGAGTTAGCTGTTTTACAACTACTCTTTAGTAAAGATTGATTTTCATATTAGTAAGAGAGCTGGATCAAGTTATTACTTTTTAAGTGATGGTTTAATTACTGCTACCTTAAAGGTTAGTGGTATGCGGCCGAGAAATAGAGGTAGATTGATCGAACTTAAAACTAAAGCTTAAATAGGAATTCTTTGAGCAATGTGGTAGGAATACAGTCTAAAAGACATGTTGATGGTTTGGAGGAAGTAATTACTGAAGTTAACTCTGAAAGATAACTCAACAAAATATCACTGAAATATTCTGAAAGATATACCACTAAGTCAACTACTCCTGTCCTCTCAGGAGCATCAGTGTCCAGAGTTTTACGTAGTGAAGATATAATACTGTTAACAAGATAACTGACCTCTGTGGGAGTAGAGTTCTGAATTCAGTAGAGTTAAGGCTGCTGCTCTGCATTGTCTTGGCACATGTTAATCCAGGCCAGTGGAGGAAGTATAGCCTTAAACTTTATTACAGCACTTATAAAAAGACATCTACTATGAGAACGGACTGCTACACAATCCATCCATCTATCCATCCATCTTCATCCGCTTTATCCGAGGCCGGGTCGCGGGGGCAGCAGCCTAAGCAAAGAGGCCCAGACCTCCCTCTCCCCAGCC